TCACCACAAAGAAGAACCTGCCTGGAGAGAGATCTCCAAGCTAAAAACCACTGCAAGTTTCCTTTCAAAAATTCTACCTTAAAATTTGAAATAACCTCAGATCAAAGTTAGTGCAAGAGTTTCCAGAAGAGTTAAGTTCATGACTCCACAAGGGAAAACAAATAGAGGGAGACTAAAGTAAATTTTGCTTTTAGATTTTTATTATCTAGCTGAGGTTGAAAGAGTAAAATTGTTACATGAAAATATTAAGTATCTAGAAACTCTTATAAAAATACAAACTAAAAAGAGAATGATAATCTCAAAGGATGAGAATAAACAATTGAGAAAAAAGAAATGACCCATAAACAAGAAAAAATGGCCAACTTTACTGATTGCATTGAAGAAATGCAAAAAAAAAAATACTGCCTATTAAAGTAGTACATTTTAAAATAATTCAGTAAAAAATGGCTAATTTGGGTACAATTGTGCAGACAGTGAGTACTCTTCTGCTTGTTGGTAGGAGTATATATTTAATTGTTACATCCTTCTAAGGGATAATTTGGCGATATATTAATATATTCAGATCCTACGATAGTTTAAAGCCTCTAATCCAATTATTTATATATTGTCTGTTCATATATTTTCTCTTTATGTATCTATAATCTATATCCATATCTACATATATCTAGCCTACTGCCTATCTTTGTAAATAAAGTTTTATTGGAACTCAGCCACACCCATTGGTGTATGTATTGTCTATGACTGCTTTCCAGCTGCAATGGTAGAATTCAGTAGTTACCCTGGAAACCATACAACTAAAAACACTTAATATGCAGCCCTTTATAGAAAAAGTTTGCCAACGCCTGCACCAGAATATAAACTCATTAATATATAAGCTAAATGAGTGCAAATAATTTGTCTGCTTTGTTTGCTATTGCATTCCCAGGGACTAGAGCAGTGCCTGGCACACAGTAAATGTTCAGTAAATATTAGTGAAGTCATCAGTTGCTCCTATTAAAGTATATTCATATTGTTTTTACATTTAGTAGGTTTTTGGTTTTACAAATAATGTTGCAATGAACACACATCTTTGCTTACTTTTGCAATTATATCAGATACAATGTTTTTTTAAAAAATAGTTAATAATTTTAACAACTTGGAAAAATACTGTTGATGTATCAGATTTTTTAAATAGACTAAAAATTGTATAATGATTCTAAATTTTGTTTTTAAAAGTGTGTGTGTGTGTGTGTGTGTGTGTCAGGGAGAGGGTAACTATAAATAATTTGAAGGCAAGGAGGTGGGTGGGGTGACTTTCATTTCCTTTATTGTTTTCTAAACTTTCTACAATGAGCACAAATTGATCGGAAAAATAAAATCTATTTTTCTAGAAAAATTAGAAGATTCTTTTTTTTTTTAATTGTAATACTTTGTTACTGCAAATAAAATCTAAATTCTTCCACCTAGTGCTTCAAGCTATAGAACTTCTGGTTTAAAAATACGTTTCTGACTGTCTCTGCAATGGCTCTCCTGTACTGTTGGTTTGTTTACCCAGACTGTGATACTGTTTGTCCCCAGAAAAGGCCATATACATTCTACTTTGGCACAGGTGTTCACTGCTTTTGTCCTGTCCAGAATTCTGCACTTTCCTCCACCTTCCTGTGCCCACTGCTGCAGTGCTTAGCTCTTTCCAGTAGCCTTCCTCAGTCCTTCTCACAGCCAAATCCTCTGCCTCTAACCTCTGGCAGCATCTAAACTCAGTTGCCTTCAGGAGACAAAGCAAGGAAAGCTAAATGAATAAAGTAAGCCAAACAAGGGAATAAGGAGTCATGGGGACATTAGTAACAAGTATGTGTCTGTCTAAAGGCAGTCAAATAAAAACAATTTTGGGCCAGGTGTGGTGGCTCATGCCTGTAATCCCAGCACTCTGGGAGGCTGAGGTGGGTGGATCACCCAAGGTCAGGAGTTCAAGACCAGCCTGGCCAACATGACGAAACCCCATCTCTACTAAAAATACAAACATTATTGGGGCATGGTGGCACACGCCTGTAATCCCAGCTATGTGGGAGGCTGAAGCAGGAGAATTGTTCCAATCCAGGAGGCAGAGGTTGCAGTAAGCCAAGATCACACCACTGCACTCTAGCCTGGGTGGCAGAGTAAGACTCCATCTCAAAAACAAACAAACAACAACAACAACAAAACATAATTTTTTAAAAAGAAGACTAAGCAAAGGCAAGGATGCTGACAAAATTTGCCCTATAGACCTCCATGACCTTATACTGCCTGATCTTATAACTTGCTTGGAACTTTGCTTTAAAGCCCATGGAGTTTAGGAATGCAGGGAAAGCTGGGGAAAGTAAGAGTTAACTGAAGTTCATCATACCACAGTTTGCAATAGCAAAAACATGGAATTAACCTGGGTGTCCATCAGTGGTGGATTGAATAAAGAAACTGTGATAAGGGTACACTATGGAATACTATGCAGCCATAAAAAAGAATCATTTCCTTTGAAGCAACCTGGATACTGCTGGAGACCATTATCCTAAGCAAATTAATACAGGAAAGCCATATAGCACGTGTTCTCACTTACAAGTTGGCATTAAGTATTGGGTGCACATGGGCATAGAGATGGAAACAATAGACACTGAGAACTACTAGAGGGGGAGAGAGGAAACGGGACAAGAGATGAAAAACTACCTATTGGGTACTATGCTCACTACCTATGTGATAAGCTCATGCATACCCAAAGCCTCAGCATCACACAATATAACCATGAAACACACACCTCGGAAGGCACGTGCACCCCCCTGAATCTAAAATAAAAGTTCAAGTTATTTTAAAAAAAAAGATAAAGATGGGGATAGGTTTAGAATGAAGGAAGAATAAAAGGTTCTGGAATTAAAGAGAAAGGCAAGGCTAGGGCTTAAGAATGAGTAAGGGTGTCTGTGGTAGAAGATATACAGTAATTCTTTTAAATGAAATTCTAATATTTTTATTGTTTAAGCTACAATAAAATATATATAATGTTAAAATGGGTTAATCAAAACAGCCCAAAGAAAATATCTTGCTTCATCTTATTTATTGATTTATTTATTTGCAAACAGAATCTCACTCCATTGCCCAGGCTGCAGTGCAGTGGCATAAACCCTGCTCACTGCAACCTCCACCTCCTGGGTTCAAGTGATTCTCCTGCCTCTGCCACCCAAGTAGCTGGGGTTACAGGCACATACCCACCACAATGCCCAGCTAATTTTTGTTTCTTTAAGTAGAGACGGGGTTTTACCATGTTGGCCAGGCTTGCCTCGAACTCCTGACCTCAAGTGATCCACCTGCCTTGGCCTCCAAAAGTGCTGGGATTACAGGTGTGAGCCACCAAACCTAGCCTCTTGCTTCATCTTCTATATCTGGCCAAACTTCTACTTGTCATAACAAAAACAACAAATGTCTAAGCTGTGTTGGATCTATGTTATGTGCAGGCACTCTGCTAAGGAGTTTTATTAGAACTGTCTGCCTCATTTTGCTCTCAGAATACCTCTAAAAGGTAAGTACTCTTGCACTGTTACAAGATTAGAAGGAAACGTTCAGAGAAGCAAAGTGATTTACCTTAGACAACATGGCTAGGAGAATTCAGGACTAACATTTTAACTTAGACTCCAGTCCAGAGCTGTCCCCTTTGTTCCTGAAAGAAAGGGAAAACTTGGTAGCAAGGGTGTAAATGTGGATTTCATTCTGTCTGCACTATTGTCCTTTTGGGCTGGACCATTCTTTCTTGCAGGGGGGTATCCTATGCATAATGGGCTATATAGCAGCATCCCTGGTGTCTACCATTATATGCAGTAACAAATGCCCCCTCCTTTACACTTGTGACAGTCAAAAATCTTTCTACTGTAATGCCAAATATTCCCTAGATGTTGGTGATAATGGTTTGGCTGTGTCTTCACACAAATCTCATTTTGAATTGTAGCTCCCATAGTTCCCACTTGTCATGGGAGGTAATTGGATTATGGAGGCAGGTTTTTCTCACGCTGCTTTCATGATAGTGAATAAGTCTCACAAGATCTAATGGTTTTATGAAGGGAAGTTGCCCTGCACATGCTCTCTTACCTGCTGCCATGTAAAACGTATATGCCTTTTGCATTCTGCCATGATTGTGAGGCCTCCCCAGCCATGTGGAACTGTGAGTCCATTCAACCTCTTTTTCTTTATAAATTATCCAGTCTTGGGTGTTTCTTCATAGCAGTATGAAAATAGACTAATACATGAGGTGGGAAGGAAGAGTAAAATCTCCCCTGGTTGAGGATCTCTGTTATACATATTTGTTCTTAGAGTAGAAATACTGTAACACTTAATATTGTCAATCTCACCGTTTTGACCTTTAATAATCCTAGATGTATCTCCTTCCTCCACTAAAAAAAAAAAAACCCATGAAAAACAACAGAGATTATTGCATGAAATGTTTTGATTTTCATACACCTCACCTTTTAGAGTGGATTAATTTTTAAAAATATAACAAGAGGGAAGCAAAAAGTTTTAAGTCATCAAGCAATCATTAAATGAATTAAAATAGTAATCCTCATGTCATTAGTTTGATTTTAGCCAAGCCAAGGAAGCAATATTCTAATATTCTGCACAAAATAGCAAATTTCAGTTTGAAAATTCTCCAAGCCATTAATGGTCCTACTATCCATCTGATTTACTAAGGGTTCAAAGCATTTGTGAGCTAAACTTTCTCAGGAAGTCATTTTTATACTATCAGCATTAGCCTGTGCCATTAAGATCAGCTTTTCCTTAATACAATGAGTTTTTATGTTATTGTCTGTGTCTTGGGGACAAGTATAATTTTTAATGAAAGAAACCTAAGATTAGGCTCCAAATTGCCCCAGTGTGATTTCATCTCATCACTCTGAGTTTGGTATTCCAAAGAAAATCAGATCAAACTACTAAGAACAATGGAAAAGTATGAAAAACACTTTTTAAATATTTGAGTATGACTCAAAGTACATGCTTTGTTTATTGGTCAGCGTGAACAACCACAGAATGAAAAAGAGTGCTGTTGTTAAAGGTATCCAGCATCATGGACCCAACCATTATCTGGAGTTTCTCACTTCATCTCTGGTGAGTTTCTCTGTTTGACATTCCTCTTTCCAGGTAGTTTTTTTGTCAAGATGAGGATCCTAGGAGCTCCAGTGTCACATCCATCCTTCCTTTTGACCAAAGAGGAAAGACAGCCCTGGCTCAAGTTCTCAAAATATCTAAAAGAGTCTCCTGAGGTCAGCTAAGGTCTCAGACGTATTTCTGCATAAATCCCAGTGGCCAAAGAGATGGTTCCAATTCCGTTTGAAATCAGAGTCAGATACAAGTGTTTTTATTAAGAAAATTTTCTCAGTAGACCATGGTAAGGGAATAGGAAGGCAGGATAAGGAAGGTAAAATTACTGGTCAAAGCTGCAATTTCAGATGAAGTACCAGCCTTGGCCCACAGAGAGCTTAGAGCATAAATTGCATGTCAGAGTTTGTCCCCTCTCACAGCAAGGGAGCTGGGCAAAAGCAGCACTGTGCCAGTCATTGGTTACAGCTGGCCTGTGATGGTTGGCGGGAGATGTAAACTCTGGTTCTCTATAGGCAAGGAAGCCCTGTTAGTTCAAGGGCAATTCTCTGAAGAAGGTGGCAGGTGCAATCTTTGCAGCAAAAGGAAGAAGTTGTTGGGGCTGGGCACACAGCATTTGGTAGAGGGGATCTGAAAGGGCCACGTGACCAAACACTTTGGCCACTTAGGGAAGGGCCCTGCACATTCCCTTCCCTAAGTGGCCAAAGTGTTTGGTCTGTATGACTGGCAGCATCAATAAGCACCATGCTTTTGAGCCAGGGAGAAGAAATTTATCAAAGGAGGGATGATCCCTGTTGCTCTTTTGAAGAAGAAAGAAGTGATAGGCAGACAAAATCTGCATAGCTTCAGCTGATTTGGACTTACCAAATTTGATCCCAAGCAAGTTGCATTAAGGTCTAATAAACACACACATAGAAAAGGAAAGTTACATTTACTGAGCACCTAATACTGTTTTGTCAACAGCTTTATTGTAGTAAAGTTTGCATACAATAAACGGCATGTATTTAAAGTGCACCATGTAATAAATTTAGACATATGTATACATCCATGAAGCCAGCATCACAATCAAGATGGTGAACATCTCGCTTACCCCAGAAGTTTTTTGTGCCCTCTCACTCCTCCATATTCCTCCAGCCTCAGGTAATCACTCACATGCTTTCTAGCACTATAGATTATTACGTATTTTCTAAAATGTTATATAAATATAATCCTAGAGTATATACTCTCTTTTGTCTAGTGTATTTATTTTGCGATTAATTCCTGTTGGCTTCTGCATCAGTCTTTCATTCCTTTTTACTGCTGAGTAGCATTCTATTGTAAACATAAACCACAGTTTGCTTGCCTGTACACCTGTTGATGTCCTCTAACACTTTTATATGTCATGTTACATTTACATGTCATATTCTTTTCACACTACTGTGAGGTAGGTCTTATTATGCCCATTGTAGGGAAGATGCATTTAGACTTCAGAGAGATTAACTAAGTTACCTGATAGCTCAGCTAATAAGAAGCAGAGCTTAGATGTCTGTGTTTTCCTCAATAAAGCCTCTGTTTTTGTCTTATCTCACCATTTCTCAGCACAGATCTTCACACAAAGTTAGACACTCCTTAGTTGATTTTTATCTACTCTAATTAGCACAACTTACATATTCAGAAAAGCTTTTTCAATTTTATACACTTACCTTCAGCTTTGACACTTTATTCATACCACAGTGGGGAAATAACCTATTTTCTTCTCTCTTTTCTCTTCAAAATAATAAATCAGAAGAATTCAGTATCAAAACTTTGGTCATTTTTGCTCCGCTATACTGAACAATTAGTCCATTTTACTATCATGCGAAACAGCGCACAACTCAACAAATCAACACTAAGTGTGCTCTATTCAGATGCCTTGAATTTTCAAAGTAAAATGGCAAATGACACTAGATGAAACACATTAAGCATTTCAGCAGATTTTGCAGTGATTAATTTTTGTCTCCCCTCTTAGAAAATGCCATTGCACTGACTTTATTGCCTTAAATTTCTAAATTGCATTTGGCTTACATGTTTTCACTTGTGTATGTACAGTCTCCTCAATTCAATTGTGAACTCTTTGAGAGCATCTAGCAAGTCAACTCTGCATAATATTTTGATGTACAAGCTCAAAGCTCTAATTTCACTCAACCCAGATGGCATACATTCTAATCCTGTTGGTCTACCATTTTCAAATGGAAAGAATACAATTTGAAAGATTTTACCTGAATTAAAGAAGCCTCATGAAGCACTGAGAGCCTAGAGACCAAGGAGTCATGGGGAAGTTAAATAAAGTCTTAGTCATCACGATCCTGTTTAAGCTCTGTCCATCTCTCCTAAGTGCTTGCTTCTGTAGTCAGCTTACTGAAAACCCTTTAATTCTCTCCACCTAAGATTATTTATCTGTCTTTGGAAGCAAGCTTGGCCAGCATGCAGGGCAGGCTAGAAGTGTAGAAAGGTTAATGCCTCTGGAATCAATCCTAAACCAATAACAGAGAGTTGGTAGATGAGTATCCCAGCACCTTTGCTTCTGGGGAAAGGTAATTCTGAATCTGTTCTACTTTTAGTGTTCCCCAGTAAGTTGGCTTCTACTGTTACCCACAGCAGTCACCTGCTCAAGAAATCACCCTTTATTTTCTTCCTTCTGTGTCTCATGTCTCAACTTTTCTCCCTCTGTGTCTTGGAATCACTTCTCAAATAAACTTCTTGCACCAAAATCCCTGTCTCAGAGACTGCTATTGGAAAAAGCCAAAGACAGACGTTAACCACCATGGCACATCTATAGCATATTGGGTTAGATATTTCAAATACATTAATCCATTTAATCCCCACAATGAAGGTAAGAGGTAGGTAGTTTTATTCTTATTTGATGAAGAAGTCTGAAAAGTTAAGAAATGTACCCATGTTTACACCCTATGTGGCAAAGTCAGTTGACCCCCACCCTCATGTAAGTAAATCCCAACCCTGTGTTTTGTATTTTTGTTTTTGTTGTTGTTGTTGTTGCTATTTGAGACAGAGTCTTGCTCTGTCATCAGGCTAAAGTAAGGTGGTATGATCTTGGCTCACTGCAACCACTGCCTTCCGGGTTCAAGGGATTCTCATGTCTCATGTGTAGCTGGGATTACAGGCACCTGCCACCACATCCAGCTAATTTTGTATTTTTATTAGAGACAGGGTTTCACCATGTTGGCTAGGCTGGTCTTGAACTCCTGACCTCAGATGATCAGCCCGCCTCAGCCTCCCAAAGTTCTGGGATCACAGGTGTGAGCCATCTTGCCCAGACTCAACCCTATGTTTTAAACACTATCAGAACTCTCAGGCTAGCTCCCTTGGAATTGTGGAGTACAGAATTAACACAGCCTCACCTGATAGCACTGGAAAATCTCATCATCTTTTTCTTATATTTATGATAGTGTCCAGGAAAGGACTGGGTACATTACAGCTCCCAGTAAAAGCTAGTTAAATTGCAAGGATTTTTTCTTTATTTGTTGTGACTCTTGTGAAACCTTGACAAGCAGTTTAGAATGAACATTGGCTCTGCTAGCTGTGTTTGCAAAAGTAATATCAAAATGATATCCTATTCATGTTTCTGCAAGAGTAATGTCTACCATTCATTCTGGCCTCGCTGATGGTGTGCTGATAAAATTACTGTAAGTGAACATTCTCATTCTGTGCCTCTCATTATTGAGGAAGGAAATTCAAGGAGTTCCAGATATATTTTATTTTTTTAATATGATAACATGCACACACAATTTTCCTTGTTCTTGAATATATGCAATTTATCTATCAGACTAGGTTTCATTTCTTATGCACTTGCTTTTATTCCTTTCCCATCCGTATGTCAGAGAGAAGGGATTTTAATCACTGAAGGAGCATTTGTATAATAAAAGTGATCTCTGCAATTCCTTCAGAGAAGAGCATGAATAAATAATCTGTACATTCTTAATGCATTGCTCCAAATATGAGTTTCAATTTGCACAGAAGTTTCAATAAATTGTTTTGTGTCCCTGAAGACCTACAGATGCCTCATGGGATACATTGCAAAGGATTCCATTTGGAAAGAATTTTGCTTATGAGAAATGTATTCTCTGTACTTTTCTTCCCCCTGTTAATGCCTAATGACATTGAATAATGCAATCATACTGTTTTTCTTTTTCTTTTAATAATTGATAGGTACAACATGAACTTTAGTCTAAAGTTTCTGAATTGGTCAGAATTCATCAACAACTTTTCATTCAAGGATTTCAAAGCACAACATACAACAAAAATTGAGGTCAAATGGTGATAGGGTTTGGCTCTGTGTTCCCACCCAAATCTCATGTTGAATTGGGATTTTGAGTGTTGGAGTCGGGGCCTGGTGGGAGGTGACTGGATCATAGAGGTGTTTACTAATGGCTTTGCATCATCCCCCCAAGTGTTGTCTTGTGATAGAGTTTTTACAAGATTTGGTTGTTTTAAAGTGTAGCATCTTCCCCATCTCTTTCTCTCTCTCTTGCTCTCTCTCTCTTTCCCCATCTTTCCAGCCATAAGAAGACTTGCTTCCTTCCTCTTCACCTCTGCAATGATTGTAAATTTCCTGAGGCATCCCCAGCCATGCTTCCTGTACAGCCTGAAAAACTGGGAGTCAATTAAAACTCTTTTCTTCATAAATTATTCAGTCTCAGGTAATTCTTTATAGCAGTGTGAGACTGGACTAACACAAATTGTGACTTGAGCTTGTATAATAATTAACTTTGCATTTAATAAGTAATGCACACTACACTAAGTTTTATATATTTTATCTTTATAATATTCCTATAATGCAGGTACTATACCCATTTTATTGATAAGCAAACTGAAGCCAAGAAAGGATACTTTCCAGGAGGTCACACATTTTATTACAGTGTTTAAATACTAATCACAAGTTTTGTCATTTTATACCTTTTTAATCAGTACTATTTAGACTTGCCATATAGACATTCCCCTGCAGGTTAGCCTAAATGTCAAATAATTTCTCT